CCTTGTTTTAGCTCCCCCCCCCCCCCCCCCATTAGAGAAATCCAGTTGTTATCAGTTCCTTATTCAGACTATAAATTGAATTGTTGACTACTTTTTACTTTATGTTTTTAGTCATAAAATATTGAGTTCTCAGAAAAGTCACAATGCAGTTTTGTGTAGAAAAATATGTCATGACTTTTCTGATGAATCAATATTTGCAGTTGGGTTAAGGCAGTGATTGTGTCTAAGAACCGCGCTAAGGCTAGTTAAGGTTGGTGGAATGAAAATATTAGAGGGTGCTTGTTTCTTCTGGAGAACATAAGTAAACTTAAAAATAGCAGCTTTCTGGGGCCATCAGAGGTAGCATGATGGTTAAGGTGCTGGACTCCCACATGACTGATCACAGTTCAAGCCTCAGACCTGGCAGCTTGAAAGTTATCCTGAGTACTTGTGCATTCATGCCCAAAATCCTAGGAGGAGAGTGGAGGAGAAGGGATTGCAATATGGGCATCCTCTGGGCAGTGATGGGAGGTGATTTCTCACTTTCCTTCTCATTGACTTTCTCTAGCAAGTGCAAGTGTTCTATGGTGCCCTTGTGGGGAAAAAAGAAGTAGCTTTTTTATGGCGTAATGGCTATGTCGCTGTACTCTCATGTAGTCTACCAGGTTGGAGTCCCAGACCTGGTGGCTTAAACTCAATGCCAGGCGCATGGTGTGTGCGTGCCCAAGATTCTGAGAGGAGAGTGGAGGAGAAGGGATTACATTGTGACCATCTCCCCTGGGGCGATGATTTCTCCCTTTCTGTCTCTGTCCTTCTGGTGAGTGCACGTATCGTATAGCAAAAACCCCTCCAAAAAAAAAAAAAAGACTAGTTTTATTAAGTCAGTATTAGGTCAATACCACTTACCAATAAATGAAATATGATTGTTCAGCAGTGAAAATTTCAGGTAGTCTGTTGTCATTCTAGAAACTGTGTGAATTTAAATAGATTGAAATTTATTCATCTCTTTTTTCTAAAAAGTATAGTACTACATTGTTTATTAAATTGGTTTTGTGACTTGGGTTTGATGCAGAATATAGGAGAATTGCTGTCATAGAATTGTTTTCCAAGGTGTTATTTTAATTTAGTTTACGGATTTATATGGTTTTCTTTTTTTAACTTTATTGGCTATAAAAAATGGTGTCATAAAACATTTGAACTTGGGGCCAGCAGGTGGCATAGTGGTTAAGGTACTGGACTCCCACATGGCCAACTGTGGTTCAAGGCCTGGACCTGGTGGCTTGCTTTGTCTTTCTATCTGTCTCTGATGAGCATGAAAAGAAATAATTATAATAAATAAAATTAAATAGATAAATAAAACTTTTAATTGAAAATTTATAAAGGAAGACATGTATGTGGTTCATAGGCTTTTACTTACACACTCATATGTCTTTTAATTGAAGAATATGTTAATGTTTGTTCCAGAATTATGTTGGAACATAATTCTTTAAAGGTATCACTGCTTTTTCTCATCAAGTGATTTTAGTCCTTTTCTTTAATGTGTCATACATAAGTCCATAGGGAGGAAATGAGTGTTTTCTCTGCCCTTTCCTCTGGCCCCATGATCTGGAAACAGTGGATACAGAAGCACACATTAAGAGAAACTTTTCTCCCCTTCTGTATGCTTTTCATACATCCTCTTTAAGAGTAAAAGGATTGGACAGTTTATATTTCTTAGAGTGAAGTTTATACAAAGTAAAAAGACCAAAACTTCAACTCCCTGTATCATTGATATTTTCCTTTGTCCTGCTCTCTTGTTTATTTTTCTTGTAATGTTGCTTTCATATGATTGTTCTCCCTCCCTTTCTCCTTGCAATATAGATTCCTAAAGGAAAATTCAACTCTTCCTTTCCTAAAAACTCTACTTTGTAAGTCATTATCATGGCACAATGAATTCTGCTTTTAATTTTGGTTCTTCACTAATCATGCCTGCATATTATCATCCTGTTGCTTACAAAATTGCCTGTTCTACATTCCAAGGTGCTAAACTACTTCTAAGACATTTATGGCCTGCTACTACTCCTATCTCTGGTTGGGCGTGACTTATATGAAAATGATATTTTTATGCCTAAGTTACTCGGAACTTTTGGCAAATCTGGTGGTTGCTTATGAGCAAATCAAAGGATTTTCTATTATTGTATGTAAATTATATTTTGGCAGTTTCTTGCTGTTAAAAATGAGAGTGAATGTTCTTAATTATGTTTCCTATGTTTGAATAAATTATTGTTTTTTGTGGAACTATTGAGTGTCCCTAAGTTCTTTCTTTAGAAAATGTTTATTTTTTTTCTTTGCACATCTTTTTCTATATTTTAAGTCAAAAATGTTTATGGTACCGGGACCAGCAGGTGGTGTGGTGGTTGGGGCACTGGACTCCTACATGGCCGACCGTGGTTCGAGTCCTGGACCTGGTGGCTTGTTTTCTCACCCCTACTCCCTGTCAAATTTAAATAAATAAATGAAGTTAAAATAATTCTTTAAAAAAATGTTTATGGTGCCTTAAGTGATTTTCAGCCACATGTCAACATGAAACATTTTTATCATGGAAGAGATCTATTTTTTTAGAGAGATTTTTGCTATAGGGTATATGTGCTCGCTGGAGAGACAGTGAAGAAATCACTACCCTAGGTGGGATGGCCGCTCTGCAATCCCTTCTTCTTTCTTCTCTCGGGATCTTGGGCATGCATGCACATTCACCCGGCGTGAGTTTAAGCTGCCGGATCCAGGACTTGAACTATGGTGAATTACATGTGTGTCCAGTGACATAGCCATTACGCCATCTGCTGGTCCTTACAAAAGAGATTTTTAAAGTGACTAAAATGATCTGTTTCCTTAATGCTGTGACAGCATTTATCATATAGAAGTCTTTGAGACCATTGGAAAGCCGTCCAAGTGTAAATACTTCGTGTTTGGAGGCAGCCAGTGTTAGCATTATTTGTCCATCCTAATTTATTAAGCATGTGGATGTGGATGGTCATGGGAACATACTATGATTACTTGGTTTATTGGTTTTTCGTTTAGGATTCAAACTAGTAACTGTATAGGAATTATAAGTGCTTTGTTTAAAATAAAAAATGTGACTTTTACCCATTTTCATTTGTTTAATGAAAGACTGCATGATTGATTCTTTATTATGGCTGACTCCTTTAATGCTTATTAATAGACAGATGATCCTCCAGTCAACAGGCTGCCTTTTATTGCATGTCATAGTGCAGTTGAAACTCCCCAGGCTAATCATCATATTAAAAGGGAAAAGAAAAGTAGCATGAGAGAATTGGTCCAAATGCCCTTCTTTAATAACCTCAGTGGTCTGGTTTACTTTGCACATGCTGTTTCACTCTACTTGAGAGGTCAGTTAGTTTGGTGTATCTGCAAGGTAACACACAAAATACAAAACGTTGATTTACAACAGAGCACACCATTCTTTTAAAGCATTTTATTGCTCAATTCACTTTATTAAAGCATTTTTGATGTGAGCTTTGGAGGTAAATTAGACTTTTAAAAAATTGCAAGATTCTGTTGATTTTTGAGGTGAGGTTATTGAGAAAGAGTATTTTGACCCAAAATACACATAAGAGCTTGAAAATCATTTTAATATGGTTATCTGGCTGTATACTTTTAAGTGTTTATTTAGCATAAAAACATTGATTTTTACTGTGCGTCAGTTTCGTGCGTCAGTTTCTTCCATTCTTACTTTGACTATACTTTCAGGATCTTGATCCAGCAGCCCTTCTTGGCTTAGGCAGTTCAGGTGTTAAGAATGGTAGAAGTCCTTTGCCTATCTGTGTTTAATACTACTTGTAGCAAATATATGGAGTTTTTATGCTTATAATGACACTTGTTTGTGGCTTTTATAGCCTATTACAGTCCATGTGAAGTAATTAACTCACTTTTCTTTACAGGTGAAGAGCAGAATAAAGAAGCGCTGCAGGATGTAAAAAAAAAGAAAGAAGCACTGCAGGATGTGGAAGATGGAAATCAGTGAGACATAAAAGCCAACAAGAGAAACCATCTCTGACCACCCCACTTCTCCCCTTCCCACCCCTTGGAAATTCCCCATTGTCACTGAGAACCACCAAATCTGACTTTTACATTTGGTGGAATTTAGGTTCCTGCCCTGTTGGTTTTTTTTTTTTTTTTTTTTTTTAAAAAAAAAAAAACAGTTTTCACAAGTTCTTAAAGGCAAGAGTGAATTTCTGTGGATTTTACTGGTCCCAGCTTTTAGGTTCTTTAAGACACTAACAGGACTGCATAGAGGCTTTTTCAGCGTTACTGTGTTGTCTCCGTGCCAGATGTGGCAAGATCACCATTAGAAATGGAAATTAGATTTGAAAACCATTATACTAGATGATGCAAACATTTAAGAGAGAAGTTAATCACACTGTAGAGGCATATATGATGCCATTTTCTCCTTTCTAATTGTTTAAATTGAATTTTATACCAATGTTTAAATCTGGGTGTTAGCTTGAGAGATGGTTAAAGGTTGTTTGGGGAGTTGTAATGGTTTTGCTGTAAAAGTGTTTCAAAAGCCGGTGAATGTTGCTGAAAAGCATGGTGCTGGTAACAGTTCAACAATCCGTGGCTGCTCATTCTTGCCTCCTTTTACTCTCCCTCTGAAGCAGGTTAGCATTGAAGGTGGTATGGAAAAGCCTGCATGCGTGTCCAGTTCCTTGTTTCTTTCCTCCAAACCCCCCCCCCCCACTCCTTCCCTTCTTCGCTCGCTCAACCTCTTTTGTTCAGTATGTGTAACTTGAAGCTAATTTGTACTACTGGATATCTGACTGGAGCCACAGATACAGAATCTGTATTGTTCTTACTGAAACACAGCATGGAATTAACATTAAACTTAAATAAAACAAACCTAAATTAAAAATGCCAAATATTATTGTGCCTCCATCCTTTATACTTCTAAAATAAAATCTCTAGTCCAAACACATTGACAGTATTATTTGCCTGAATGTGAAAAGATTGCACCTCCCTACATTTTATCTTGCATAAATCATTTCTTGTCCAGAGGTATTGTGATATTGCCGGGGGGCGGGGGGGGGGTTGGATTTTGTGTGCTCTAGTTGTGAAGAATGCTTAAGTAAATCTCGAATCCATTTTAATTACCTCTCTTGTTTCCCAAACCAAGTAGCAACACAGTATTTAATCATTAAAGTACAACATGTGTGCTTAATCCAGGGTGTAATTACAGATCATTTTTAAGCATAAAATATTGGGTTTTACAACTAAATTCAGGCTTAATGCGTCAAAATATATCCTCTTCGCCCTGAGGCAAAACTGTGTACTTCCTCCTCCCAAATATCAATGTTAGGAGCAGAGAATAAAAACTTTTGCAGTGGGACCAGCAGGTAGCATGGTGGTTATGGTGCTGGACACTCCCACATGGCCGACCAGGGTTCAAATCCTGAATCTGGTGACATGCTTTCTCACTTTCTCTCACTCTCAACCTCTGTCTCTCTGGTAAAATAAATAAATAAATAAAATAAAATAGTTATTAAAAAAAAAAGGGAACCAGCAGTTAACGTAATGGCTATGTCGCTGGACTCCCACGTAGTCGACCACGGTTTGCATCCCGGACCCGGTGGCTTAAAACTCAATGCCGGGCGCGTGTGCATGCGTGCCCAAGAACCCGAGGAGAATGGAGGAGAAGGGATTGCGGCATGACCATCCCCCCTGGGGAGTGATTTCTCGCTTTCTGTCTCTATGTCTCTCTCATGGCGAGCACATGTGCCCTATAGTGAAAACCTCTCAAAACTTTTGCAATGACAGGTGAACACATGGTAATAGTGTAGCGGTCATCCTGACCAGAAATACAGGAAGTTTCTTCCAGAGATGGTTGTACAATACGTATAGATACAGAGAGAGACAAATAATATCCTTCGAGGGAGTGTGAGGGGATGCTCTTTTTTGGGGGAAGGAGGGGTAATAGTCTTCACAGCTATTGTTTCTGCCCAGCCTCCCAGCTAGCAAAGGTAGTTTGGGCAAGCTGCCAGGTCTGGGACTCAACCTCGGTCAGCCATGTGGGAGTCCAGTCTCCTTAACCACTATGGCACCTGCTGGGCCCTGCCCCCCTTTTTTTTAGTAGATGTGAGCAGCATGCACTTGCCAGACAAGAGTGCCTGTTGATGGGATATGGTTACACCACAAACCCTCCTTTTCTCCATCTTGTGACTTGGAGTATGCATATACATTCACTTGACCTTCCTAACACCGGGGCCAGAATTTGAACTGCGCTTGGCTTCATAGGATCCAGGTTGCTTAACCACTATGTTACAGGCTAGCACAGTTTGCCACCTGAGGGCTTGCCCAGTTTGCCGCCTGGGGGTTTTTTTTTTTTTTTTTTTTTGGTAGAGCACATGTGCTTGCCAGAGAGTGAGGGAAAGTGAGAAAGCACCTCAGGGAGGATGCTTACCAACGAAAATTTTTAAAATTTGATTTTATTATTTTAAACATTCAATTACTTTACTTCATTTGGCTTGTAATGAGAATTTACCCAACATGAAATACACCCCAGACCAGTCCAGTTGAGAATATACATTATCATCAATGGGTAAAAACCATTTCTGTGCCCCACAAATGTCTTGCCTCTTTATTTTTTCCCGATTTTCTTCCCTATACTCTTCCCCTCTCCTACCCTCCTTCCACACTGTCTTCGGTGTCTATAGTTATTTTCACTGCTTCCATGTACTCCAATCTTTCCTTTTCTACTATAGAGTGTAGAAAGTCTGTATAAAGTGGAGATACAGTGTTTCTCATAGCCTGGCTGGCTTCACTCAGCAATATTCTACATTTGACCACTTTTTAAAAAATTACTTAATTTTATTTACTCAATTTAACCAGAGAGAGAAACAGGGAGGGGGAAAGTGAGAAAGCAAGCCACTAGGTCCAGGACTTGAACCATGGTTAGCCATGTGGGAGTGTCCAGTGCCTCAACCACCACACCACCTGCTGGCCCTATATTCAGCCACTTTCTACCAAATGCCAGGGCCTTGTTTTTTTATGAGTGAGTAGTATTCCATATAGTATATGTGCCACACTTTTTCAATCCTTTCATCTGTTTGTAGACATTTGGGTTGGTTCCATGTCTTAGTGATCATGAAAAGTGCGGCAATAAACATTGAAGTGCAAGCGCTTTTCCGAATGAGTATTCAGTCCTTTGTGTAGAGACCCAGGAGTGGGATTGCTGAATCATAAGGTAGTTCTATTTGTAGGCCTTTGAGGGACCTCCAAACGGTTTTCCACAGTGGCTGGACCAATTTACATTCCCACCAATGGTGTAGGAGAGTTCCCCTTTCACCACAACCAGCCAACACTTTTGTATTTTTAATCTTGGTCATTCTGATGGGTTAGGTGGTATCTCATTGTGTGTGTGTGTTTTTTTAATTTATTATATATTTATTCATTTATTTTAATTTGACCTGAGAGGGACAGTGAGAACGTGAGAGAGAGAGAGGAAAAGTGAGAAAGCAGGCCGCCAGGTCCAGGACTCGAATTGCGGTCAGCCATGTTGGAGTCCAGCACACTTAACCACCATGCCACCTGCTGGCCCTCATTGTGGTTTTAATCTGCATCTCCCTTATGATGAGGGATGTTGAGTATTCCTTCATATGCTTTTTGGCTGTTTTGTCTTCCTTTGTTTTTTTTGTTCGGCTCATTTTCCCATCTTTTAATTGGGTTAATCATTTTTTTTTTTCAGGTAAGCTGTTTGAGGTTCCTGTGTATTCTGGTTATTAGTCCCTTATCAGAGGCATAGTTTACAAAAATACTTTCCCATTCCGAGGGTTGTCGATTCACACTAATTACTATGTTCTTTGCTGTGTAGACACTTCTTAATCTGATGTAATCACACTTGTCTATTTTTGGAATTGTTGCCTGTACTTTTGGGGTCTGTTTTAAGAAGTCTGCTCATCCCAAGGTCTTCCAGCTTTTCCTCAGTGTTTTTTCCACCAGTAGTCTTATAGTTTGAGGCTTTAGTTTCAGATCTTTGATCCATTTTGAATTGGTTTTTGTTAATAGTGAGAGATGGGGATTCAGTTTCATCTTTCCGCAGGTGGACACCCAGTTTTTCCAGCACTATTTGCTAAAGAGGTTTTCCCACTGGATTGACTGGTATCCTTAGTCAAAAGTGAGCTAGCTGTATGTTTTGGAGTTTATTTCTGGGGACTCTATTCTATTCCATTGGTCCACTTGTCTGTTCCAGTATCATGCTGTTTTGATGATCACAACTGAATAGTATATTTTGGGAGCAGGGAGTAAGATGCTGTCCATTCCCACTTGTCTTGTGCAGGATTGCTTTGGCATTACGGGGTCTTTCATGATTCCAGACAAATTCTACGATTGTCTTTTCTAGATCTATGAAGAATGTCTCTAGTAATTTGATTGGAATTGTGTTAAATATGTAGATTAATTTGGATAGAATTGCCATTTTGATTATAATTTTCCAATCCAGGAACATGGGGTGTCTTCCACTATTTGTGTCTATTTTCCTTATAAAGGTCTTTGCCTTCTTTGGATAGGTTTACCTCAAGGTATTTTATACATTTTGTGGCTATGGTAAAATGGATTCCTTTCTTCAGTTCTACCTTGGTCAGCTTGTTCGTATGTAGAAATGCTGTAGATTTTTGGATGTTGATTTTGTATCCTGCTACTTTACTGTATTCATTTATTACTTTGAGAAGTTTTTTCATGGATACCTTTGGGTCTTTTGTGTATACCATTATGTCCCATGTTATCTGCAAATAAAGATATTTTCAACTCATCTTTTTCCCTATTTGAATGCCTTTTATGTATTCTCTTTTCTGATTGTATTGGCTAGGACTTCCAGTACTGTATTAAAAAGGAGTGGAGAAAGTGGGCAACCTTGTGTTCCTAGTGGAAAAACTTTGCTTTTCCCCTTTCAGTATAATGTTAGTTTTGTGTTTTTTTTTTTTTTTTTTTTTTTTTTTTAAGAATTATTTTATTTAACCGGAGAGTGACAGCAAGAGTGAGCGAGAGAGAGGGGAAGTGAGATTCTCAAAGCTAGCCACCAGATCCGGGAGTCAAGCTGCTCTTGGCCATGTGGGAGTCCAGTGCCCTCAACCACCACGCCACCTGCTGGCCCCATATATAGATTTTATTGTGTTGAGAAATGACCCCTCTGTGCCAGTTTTGCTAAGAGTCTTAATCATGAAGAGATGTTGTATTTTTTTTTTTTTTTTTGGAGAGGTTTTTTCGCTGTAGGGCACGTGCGCTCACCAGACAGAGACGGACAGACAGAAAGCAAGAAATCACCCCCCAGGGGGGATGGTTACGCCGCAATCCCTTCTCCATTCTCTCAGGATCTTGGGCACGCACGCACACACGCCTGGCGTGAGTTTTAAGCCACTGGGTCTGGGACGCGAACTGCAGTCGACTACGTGGGAGTCCAGCAACATAGCCAATACACTAAATGCTGGTTCCCAAGAGATGTTGTATTTTGTTGAATGGTTTCTCTGCATCGATTGAAATGATCGTATGGTTTTTATCTTTGTGTTAATACGGTGTTTACATTTATAGTTTTGTATATGTTTGAACCACCCTTACATCCCTGGA